TTAATTGAATTGTTAATTTAATTTAATTTTTTTGGTGGTGCAGTGTTTAAAAAATGTTCTAGAAACCGCACACACACACAAACAGTGCAATATTTGTCATTTAATAATTTTGTTAAATAAGGTTGCAGTGCAATGTTTTCATAATGTTTTATAAACCACATTTACCAATATAAAAAGTATAGTTTTCTATTAAAGTTTACAGTAAAGTAGCCTCAAAAAGTTAATGTAGCATTTTTTAACCATGAGAATCAGACCAAACCGCATATAGAAAATGTACATACTGTATATATATATATATATATACTATATAATGATGATTATATAGTAAAAGAAGTAGAGGTGTAAATCGGATGGTTCGTCATGATACGATACGATATCGATTCTCATACCAAGCGATACGATATTTGCCAATACTTCAAAAAATTATGCGATACGATTTCGATACGGTTCGATACAGGAGAATATCGATCGATATATCGATATTATTATATTATATACCTATTTTAAACAACCATCTACATTTATATTAACTCACAAATGCAACCAAAACATATAACATAAACATTTATCTTAAATTTCCACATACTGCTCCTCAATTGGGACATTCACAACAAAAAATAGGCCTACACTTTTTTTTAAATAATAAAGTTGTTGGAAAAAATACATTAATGTAGAAAAATAGATTTTAAAAATACAAAAATAAAACTGTTAAAACTTTATTTGAGACGTTTTTTGGCTGCTACTATGGGCTCAGTGCTAAAAACCTTTTCTACAGATAACCAAATTACAAGCAATAGCAGAAAATAAATACAATATAACAAAGACAAATGAAATAAACAGTGCTTTTCAGGTTTTTCAAGCAGATCTAAAAGAAATGTTCAGGTTCAGAAATGTAATAATCAAATGTAAAATAACACTGCATAGTCAAAATATAGATTAATCCTTATAAAAGTTGTTCAGTCAAAATCAGTGAGATTTTTTTTCTTTGACAGAAGTTTTCTGTTAGTCTGCGTTCACTTTAAGAAGGAAAGCATGGATCCAATATACTGATACACATGCGTTTTCTTTCTTTCATCCATATCGATGGATCGTTACACCCCTAAAAAGAAGCATGTAAGTCCGCTATTATTAGCCTACACTATATTTATATTCAAAATACAATCAGGACACATTAAAATGTTTGTGGAACAATTTTGTTTACATTTTTAATCTTCAAGTTGGCAAATTGTTGCAATATAACGAGACTGCAGATTATTGAGTATAGTGTAAAATATATTCATGTGACCTATTTCAATGTGTGTGTCTATTTCTTTTTAGTATGTGAGTCCCTGGTCAATGTTTTCAGCAGG